CACTGCTTTGTATTCAGCTGCACCACTTGATGCAAAGCCTAAATTGTCCAATTATTAAGTGACTAATTAACTTGGCCACATGAGATTATAATATTCTATCTGCCCTTTGAGCAGTTTCATAATAAGATATCACATACAGCAGGTCCTATTCACACCAAATGAGATTACACTCATAGAAATTGTCCTTTACTATATCATAATAGGAAGGAAAGATTAGATTCATAATAAGCATATGTGTTGTACGCAAGTAATAAAGTAGGCTGTTGCATTATAAAGTTTTTAACCCGTGGATTTAAAAGATTATATTATACCTTGTTTGATTTTATTCAGATTTTTCCTAAACTACTAAGTATTGATTCAATGCGTTCCATTTCATACATGATTTGTTTTTTCTTTAGGTTCGATATCTGAAGGGGTTCTCAATGCTTGTTCCTTTAGCAATAAAAAAATCCCGATTTCGCTAAGGTCGGATGAATTCTTAATTGAAATTACAGTTTCGAATGGATATTCATCCAAAGATCGTAAAGACATTTTGAATAGTAGTGACTTGACCTCTTTCTCGCAATTGGTCATTTTATCAAACCGATCTCGATGAGCGCACCTCGTCCGGGGCCTTTTTCCCTAGCAATTCTGATTATTTTCCAGTTCTGTTTGTTTATAAGTATATTTCTTATATTATTTTCCAGTGTCGGACTGTGGATCTGATGCTTTTCTCAGATAACATTTGGGAATGCATTTTTGTATATTCGTATAAAATATTCTCGATTAGAAATTCATAATTTCTTATACAATGTTTTTTTTCCTTCTTTAGTCACCAGCTGACGTGCTTGAGATAGCTTCTCTACCCAAGTCTTTGTGCACAACCCCTCCTGAGTCCAGCTTAAATCGTTCTTATTCGCCTTGCAGGAAGCGGCCCTGTCTTTTGTCGCCTTTTCCCACGACTCCTATGTCTTCCGTCGCAGAACTTTTCCATCAAACACCAGTTGGCTGCTTCGGCAAAACTTATATTTGCCCCAAACCTCCTTCATGTTCTAGCCTTATTCCAGCTAATTTTTCACCCATGATTGATAATCGACCCTCAAAAACTACAGCCTGTGTATTTTCCCATCAGCCCCACCAGCCGGAAAATCATTCACATCTTACCTTTGGACCCAACGTTGAGAAGGGCCTTCATTTACCCACAGTTCATACATCACCATTCACGAGTTCCTTCTTAACTCGTGACAAATCCGCCGAAATTTTTAACACGGATCAATTTTCGTCCGCCTTGCCATCCCTTAGCATTCTGAATAATAACGTTGTTGAGACTCAACCAAAATCAGGCATTGCTAATCTCACATTAAATGAACCCGCCTTGTCTACTCAACCTCTTGTTCGTCATTCCTCTTTGAATTCAAAGCATCAGTCCAGGAAAACAGTTAGGTCGAGATCCGTTGTATCCAGTTCGAATAATTCTGCACCTCAGAGTCCGACCCCAGCATCACCACCCATTATTTTGCCATGTACACCAATGCCTGATTACGCACGAATGATGACGCCACATCTGAAGGTAAGAAGGCCTTTTTTTCACTTCATACTCTTATAAAAAAAA